CACAAAAAATAATATGGATAGCTTTGGAGTTGAGCTGGAACATTCTTGTCTCTCCTTCACTCCATAATCTTTGATGAGTGGAAGGTTTGATATATCCGTCTTCTATGATATTCCATGCTTTCATGTTACTTTCTTGAATGAAGTACATAATTCTATTCTTCCGATAAGCATAATTATCTCCATTGAAGAAAGAAGGCTTGTTAACGGGTAATGAATCAAGACCGAAGTCGAAGTTTGAAGTGGAGGCCATTGATGACTTGATTATCGATGTAACTCTTCCCGGATCTTCTCAAGAGATGATTAAAACTTCAAATGAGTCAAGCTCTGATACCAATTATTGAGTAAATCGATCGACAGAATAGGCCAAGAGGGGGTGAATTGGCAATAAAAATTTTGGTAGAAGCTTTTGTAGAAAATTAAAAATATTTGCATAGCGATTTAGAGTGGTTCGACTTTCTTAACCAAAGTCTATATCAACTACCTTAGCTATCCACACTAAGAATTTTCCAAAAATTCACTAATTTGCCTTTCTTTTGAGGACAAAGAGTAACCTTACAAATCCCTCAAGAATTATACCCCAAATTCTTGAGAACACTCTCTCCCAAATAGAACAATACAAATTTTGCAAACTTACAAGAAAATTCTCACAAGGAAAGATGTTTGCACAATTCGAGAATAAAGAAAGAACACTCAAGAATGATACAATTGAGCAAAATAAGTGTTATTGAAAGCAAAATGAATATTGAATGAAATAGGCTTGAAAATGCTTCAAACTTGAGGTTTGATGCTTTCTCTTTGATTCTCTCTTGATTCTTGATAATTGTTATTGATCAATGGCTCCTAAGCTTGTTTAAATACTACTTGGATCACTTCTGAACATTGGGGATCATTAGTGGAGTCAATAGAGTCGTTATTGTGTGAAAATAATTAATAAAACAACTTGAAGCGTTGGGGGGGTATTGGTACCCATGCATAGGGTATCAGTACCTATAGTGTAAAATTCAAATATTTCAACCATTATGAGACAGGGGGTATCGGTACCTCCTGGGGGTATCAGTACCCTCCGAGAAATTTGTTATTTATCAGAGCCAAATCTTATATAGGGGTCTTGGTACCCTCTTGGGGGGTATCGGTACCCTCTTGGGGGGGTATCGGTACCCTCTGGGCAATCTGGTTTTTCGGTTTAAGATATATTAAGAAAATATTTTTGGCTTGATTAAGGCTCGAAATACTTTGTAAAATTGTTTAAAAGATTAAAACACACTTTTACACTTGAGTAAGGATTGAAATTGACATTTGAAAAACTTGGAGTAATATTTTGATATTCGAATAGTTTAATCGAATATATATTTGAAAATGATTAGGAAAATCTTGAAATCTAATAACATTTAATTTGTTATATCGAAACATTAAAATGTTTTCAACAGAATTATATTAAGTAAAGTTTATGCACTACTCTAAAGTAATTAAGTATAGCTAACGGTATTCACAAATGATTATGACGAGGCAAATGAAATGTGTATGAGTAACAAAAGGAAATTTCATGGCAAAGGAAAATGGTAAAGATAGCAAATAAATGAAATAATTTGATAATCCTCACACATGAAACTACTTCAGGAATGAGTGACGGGGAATGATTTAAGAATGCTAAAACTTATCTGTCTAGCAGATTTAATCTATCTGACGTCACTTGCTGGACGGGGTTTGCTGAAATGCTTCCGCTATCTCTAGTCAAAGGAACCTAACAGAATAGAATGCCACGACATCTCCTCTAAGTCTCAACTATGACAGTCTATACTATTGATAAAAACTACCCTTTTTAGTCGTTGAAATCCTATCTTAGTCTCTCTCAAGTACTAAGGGATTAGGATTTAGTATTACTAGGTCGGTTCAATGCTTAAGAAAATACTATAGCCCATTGCTTATTTGGATCCTTTCTTGTGTTTCTCTCAAATACTACAAGTATTATTAGCTAAGTTTCTCTCAAACACCTAGCCTTTATCTAAGAAATGGACACTCTCATGCCTCTTACAAACTTAGATGATGAAGCATTCATAAGAAAAGCAAGCAAATATAAAAGATAAATATTAATCTACCTTTAAAATAAAGTTAAACATCCATAAAAAAACCCCACCAAATAAGGTTAGTTCATGGTGGGGCTCGAATATTCCATGAAATAAAACATGAAAATCATTCGTGCCAAACAACCCAAATAAAATAAATAAAAGAAAACAACAAAGGGATGAAGGAAAAAGCCTTTGACACGTGCTATCGGAGCTCCCCTCGGCCACCACGAACTGCCTTAGCTCGCTATCTCCTCTCGGAAGCCTAGCTCGCCACTCCCTCAAGCTTCACCAATAGAGGAACACCAAGAAAAATGAAGGAAGAAAAATGGTGGAGAAGATGATGATTTTCTAGCTTGGGAACCTCTCATTTCTTCCACACACTCTCTCTCTTGTGAGGTGTAATGTATAATAAAAATATCTAAGGGAAATGATGAGGTTGTTACACTCAAAATACCCCTCAAACCCCTAGGGTCATTTCCTTGTGCATGAACCTTATCCTCCAGGTGGCAGTGGTTCCCCAGCAGGTTGCTTACAAGTAGCAGACACGTGATTTGACAGTTGTCCTTTTATGAAAATATCTTTTTGTCCTTTTTTGCACCATAAATGCCAAAGCATTTTAATCTGCTTCAGGAATGTGTGATGTCACGACATTCCTTCCCAGCTTGCCCTTTTTTACTTGTTATTTACTGCACGTCACTAAAAATCATACCTTCCTCCTCATAGAACACCTTAATAACCACAAAAAATGCAATTATATGCAGCTACATAAATATGAAATGATCTATATGTACCCTTAAACAAACAATAACTGAAGTAAAAAAGGCCTTAAAAGTAGTCTTTTTACGAAGTTATCACCAATCATAACAGCTACATCGCCATCGTCGTCAAGCTGAATTGCTCCATATTCTCTATAAGATAGAAACTATCAATTTTTTTCTTCATTTGCCGATGTGATACATCACAGGGACCATCATGTTTATAGGCTTCTGTGATATAAACACAGCACCATCATCATTTTCAGTGACTTGGCCATTTGAGTGAATGAGAGTGAAAAATTTGTTAGCCATAGCTTCAGAAAGGTTTTTGGAGAAAGGTTTTTGCTGAAGATTTACATGAAGTAAGCCCATTTAATAAGCTTTTAGCAAGAAAATGTCAAAACGGGCCATTAATAATCTTCAGAACGGGTCATTAATAATGCAGGATGCCATAAAACTTTTCAGTGCCCCATCAATCATCTTCAATAACTTTTCAGTGAAATGTCATCTCTAATAATGCACCATGCCTGAAAATGTCAAAACGGGCCATTAGTTATCTTCAAAACGGGTCATTAATAATGCAGGATGCCACAAAACTTTTTAGCAGCTTTTCAGTGTCCCATCATCATATTCAACAACTTTTCAATGAAATGTCATCTCTAATAATGCACCATTCTCGAAAATGTCAAAACGAACCATTAATAATCTTTAGAACATGTCATTAATAATGCAGTATGCCAGAAAATGCAAATAACTTTTCAGTGTCCCATCAATGATCTTGAGCAACTTTTCAGTGAAATGGCAACTCATTTATGAAAATTTTCAATACTAATATATCACTTCATATCAGGTATAACCTGCATTTCAATAGTAATCTAAAATAATGCACCATGCCATAAAATAGTCAGTTCACAAACTTTTTTTGCCTATAAATGCGTGTCTGGTGAAACCTATTTTATCGATCTAGAACAACCTCAATTTTTCACTTCCAAATCTTTAGTTTTTTGTGAACATGAAAAATATTTGTGGAACTATTTTTTATGATTGTAAATCTTTAACCATGTGTTTTAAAAAAATGTTCAACAAGGCGAGTTGAAGTTTAATATACAAAGAAGGGTTCAATTGGGAAACATTAGAAGAATATTGTTGTTATATTATAGAATTCCACTATCATGCACAAGTTTTCATATAAGCGATGATATCGACCTTGTTGGTATGGTAAAGACATATTTCAACTATTCTTTGTCTAATGTCGATTTGTTATAGAGTTCGATGATCTCAACCTTTCTCGTATGGTTGAGGATGCTGCTTCCAGATCGAACATCCCAACAACTCAGATAAATGACGAAGCAACAAACATAGATGATGGAGACCCAAAAACATAGTTTTAATTTGTACGTGAACGACAAAAGAAAAAGCATGGAGAATTGAAAAAATTAATATTACTACTGACGAGTCTACTTATTACGAAGAGTATAACATCATAACAAATAATGCAACATGTGTTTATTAATTTATGATTTCGTTTACTATTTAGTGTGTAAGTAAGGTTTGTCCTATTTATGTCCTTAAGGTAATGTATTAACTGTGTTGTAATATTAATTCTTAATGAGCATTTCTCATGGTTCGTTGTTTTTTTCTCCATATATTAGTATGACTGTTTGAACTTCTCACATTAAGGAGATAAAAAAAAGTAACTGAATATGACCACTCAAATCACATAATCTCAGCATTACAACTTTCTTATTTAAATATAATATTAAACAAAAAACAACCATGAAAAAACTTAAAAAACTGAAGTAATCAATAGTGTCTTCACTAAACTCATCACCTCAAGATGACGAGTTTCAATAATTTTTTTCAATTCTAATTTTAAATATATTACTGCACAAAAATATAATAATATTGTAAAAAAACCCATCATCTCGAAATGATGAATTTTTAAAAAAATTAAAATAATAAAAATATATTATAAAAATAATATATCAATAAACTCGTCATCCTCGAGATGAGAAATTCTTTTCGTACCATAAAAATTGTTGTAGATCACTAATTAAAATCCAGTGTTCCTTAAAACCCTAATTGTTGTTTTCTATATTCGGTAATGGGCCAGAAACGCCCAAAGAACTCTACTCTAGGTTTAATGTCTTCACCTATATAATATACGACAGATAGAGCACCCAATCTCTTTCACTCCCAAAAAACAAATCTTTGAATTCCAGTCCTTTTAATTTCATCCAACAAAAGGAAGCTCAATGGCCGGAATAGGACCTCTAACTCAAGACTGGGAGCCCGTCGTTATTCGCAAAAAAGCCCCTAACGCCGCCACCAACAAGGATGAGAAAGTCGTCAACGCCGCTCGTCGTGCCGGTGCCGAGATCGAATCCGTCAAAAAATGTAGTATTTTTTTTTCTAATTTTACCCTTTCCTTTTGAATTAAATATAAAAGAAGAAAATACCCATCATTTGAATCGAAACGATTTCTGTTTCTCAGTAAGGATTCGTTTTTTTTGTTAGTGAGAATAATACACCATTTTTTTTTATAAATGGAAACATGCAGCAAATGCTGGGACGAACAGGGCAGCATCTAGTAGTACTTCTCTCAATACAAGGAAGCTTGACGAGGAAACTGAAAACCTTGCACGTAAGAAATATGTTATCTTTTTTTTTATTCTTATCCTTTTTATACGCCATTATAGCTTTAATTATATATGATTCAGTCCTTATGTATGAAAATCCTCAAATCTATCGCTCGAAGGATTCTAGTAGGTTGTTTTGTTCACAGTCACAGCAACTATCATGTCACTAAAAAACATGTTCATCGCTGCAATTGAAATCCCCAGCTCGATCTTGAATATATAGAACTAGTAATTTTTCATTAAGTTCTTAGCACAAGGGATTTACCAATGGAGAGAAGCGTTATGAATTCATTTCTTATTGTGAGGCTAGGAACCAATGCAAGTTTAAGTGCACTGATTTGTGTTTTGTTAAAATATCTCGATTTTCTGCTTATTTTGAGGGGGTGAACATTGAGGCATAAATTGTTGGCAATGGTAGTGTATAGTAACATGAGGATGGACTTAGTTGGGGCATTATTCATCCCTGGATCTGGCCTTTTTCAGTTTATTGATAGCATCTTGTTCTGGAGGTAAGCCATGGTTGTTATAAAAAGAATATGGCAAGTCCAATTTGTTTTTTTTGTGATTGATCTTTTGCTTAGACTTCGATGTCAGTGACAGAAATGAGTATGTGTCCTACAAGATTTATGTTTATTTATTTATTAAAGATTTTCATACATTTGAAGGATCTTATTCCCATGTCTATATTTCGATATACGTTGAACACAGGTACCTCAAGTAACCTGAAGAATCAGAGCAACATATGATTTACATACATATTGCTTTTGTAACTTGCCATATTCTTTTTATAACAACCATGGCTTACCTTGTTACACAATATTTGGTATTCTCATACATAACAAGGGAAATGATTTTGCATTTGCAAAATCGACTATTTCTATATCGAATGATCCTCAACCTAGCCTCCAATACTATGTTTTGAACTTGTATAATAAATGTGTATATTCTACCTGCCATACTAATTGCATATCTGACCGTACTTCAACCGTAGAATGAGAATTGTTAATTTTTATTCTTATGAACAGATGACCGAGTGCCAACTGAACTGAAGAAAGCCATTATGCAGGCTCGAATGGACAAGAAACTTACCCAGGCTCAACTTGCACAGGTCTCTTGTCTCTCTCCCTCCGTGCATTCCCCACATCCCTAAGGCTAAGAGTGTGGAGCCTTTTAAATTTTAAGTTTTAAAATTGAATCATTCTTTTCATCTCACAGTTGATAAATGAGAAACCCCAGATCATACAAGAGTACGAATCCGGAAAAGCCATTCCTAATCAACAGATAATTGGTAAACTCGAGAGGGCCCTTGGTACGAAGCTGCGAGGAAAGAAGTGAGACAGGCTGTTTTCTTGTAGAAACAAGAACTAGAACAATCAAATATCTACCAGTATCTTCGAGTCATAAAACTTATGGAGTGTAAATGAATGTTTCTCTACCATCATGGTTTGCTTGTAAGTACAATCTTTGTGTGGTGACTGTATGACTATGAAAATGAAGTGTGTTTCTTTGACTGTTACAGGAGCAGTTTGTGTTTTGCTTTCATTTCTTTTTCTCCTATGGCATCCCTTTGATACACAGATGAAAGTTTCAGCTATTAAAAACACCAATATATATATGATGTGTAGATTTGACCGTAAAGTTCAATAAAATGACATAATAATAAAATCATAACCCTATACCCTAAACAAACCACTAAGCGCAATATTCTCCTACACATTCTTAGTTTTCCCCTTACCTAAATACACTTTTTGTTAACTAATACATAAATTTGAACATGCCATATTATAGGCTTACAGCCGCCTGAGAAGCAATGCGTTTGGGTATCATGCAACCGTAGTCTAGACATTCAGAAGCAATCAAATTGGCGAGGTATATGAAGTAAATTATGGTAGTAGAGAAAATTATTGGAAGATTTTGGAGTGAATTTGAGATAATGAAATCCAATTAAGGAATAGAAGTTGTATATATAATGAGATTACCTTGATTCGAGTAGGTGTCGAGCTCTTTGCAATAGATTACAGTTTATATATGATTACTAAAGTATTAGTAAGTTAATTATTTTTCCAGTGATGTTTTAAAAGTAATGAAACAATTATTCGTATTACGAAAAACAACCCAAAGGTAACAATCACTAATGCAAACCAGGGGAATTGTGTAACCCTAGACTCGGGCCAAACGTTACAATCGAATCTAGACGGTCACATTATCGTATTCAGAAATCCTTTTTATATTTAAAACGTAGTTGGAATTTATTTCAGTGAATAAAATACATATAACAGTAAAAACACAAAAATATCCAAAAGTAAGGTTAATACCAATATCGAAAATCTGAATAAAACATGTCCAGAACAAAATACTGATCATACAAATATATAAAGTCAATAGTAAAAACCCGTTTCACCAAAATATAACAAAAATAGCTTATAGGAACATACAATGGGTAGAGGAGAAGCACTCAGATGAGTGTTTTATTTGATTAATATTTTGTTATTAATTAATCCGTGTTACCTCCTTTTATAGTGCTAATTTGGGTTGTTTTAATTCGAATTTGTACAGGACTCTATTTTTCATGAAATAACAATTAAAAAGCGGATTAAACATATTTTCATATTATTTGGGAAAATTCGGCGTCAATCAGATTCAAAGTTCGATCCAAGAACAAACTCTGATTAAATATTCCAAGTAGGAAAATCAAAAGAGGAAAGGAAGGCGAACCACAATTCTTTAGGAATTTAAACATTTGATGTTTTATTATTTTTATTAGGAATTTAGTTTGCATAGAATTTTTATTTAGGATTTTTAATATTTATTAATTTGGATTTTTAGTTTGTTAGAATTAAGAGTTTGAATATTTTAAGAGTTAGTATTTTATTTTCATCAAGTTAACTCAAGACTATAAATACCCCTAGGGGTGATGCTTGAGAGTTGTTCTATAGAACTAGTTATGGTTTTTTCTTTGATTTAGTTTATTTCAATAAAATTATTTTTCTTCTTCATCTTCTTTCTTTCTGCACGCCAAGCACGGTCTCTACCATGCTTGGCTAAACTTTTCGTTAGCTAATAGTTGAGCGACAACTCAATCTAGTCTCGTGAGAATCAAAAAGGTATGTAACATCTTCAGATTTCTTTCTTGATTTTTCTGCAAACAAAGATAGGCAATCGGTCTTTCTTCAACATCTCAATATCTTTAATCCAATGAGTGTATAGAGCACATTGGTTTGATTGACGTTGTGATCTATAGTTGGGGAGGAGAGTAAGCTTGTAGCAAATTCAATTCCCTAAGAACAATCTTAACGGCGACCCGCTAAGAGAAATCAAGATCGGGTTCGATTCTCATCGAGACACCATAATTCGAGCACAGGTTTTTCCAGTTCAAAACCAACATTGGCATTAATAACAATAGTCAATATTAATCCAAACAAGGGCTAATTTTCAATGATTGGCTTTGAAAATCAGTTCATAAGAGAGAAGAGCAAGTTACAAGGGTTAGGCCTTGTAGATTGTAACATGCAAGAATTTGAAGTAAAATCTGTTTCAGTGATCGAGACAAATTGAGGGGAAGCGAAGCTGAAGGCTATTTCTCATCTTTATTATTCCTTTACAATTTAATTTTCTCAATTTTTCTTATTGTTTGCATATTAGTTTTACATTATTTTTATTTTACTTGTTTACTTTAAAATCCCTTTTCTTTTTAATTTACTTGTTTTATAGGTTTCTTGGTTCAATATCAAATTGAATTAGATTTATAAATTTCTTAATCCCTATAGACCGACACCCTTCTTCTCTATATTACTTTCGTAGTATAAATATCTGAGAAAAATGATTATTTATTTGAAAAATGTGACACTTGTCAAATTGGTGCCGTTGTCAGGGATCACGACAAAATTACTGATTAAAATTTGTTTCGATTTATGACCAAGAAAAATAAAGGAAAACTAGTTGATTGGGTACCTGAGATTGAAGCATTATCTCAAAGAATACGTTCACGTACGCTACAAGAAAGGAGACAACAACAACAACAATCATAGCAATCTGAATCCAATCCATAACCTAATCCGGAGACACCTTTGGACACTGAAACGTTCTCTGACGTCAAAGAAAACTTTGAGAAACTGATTTCAATGGATCAACAGACAATCCAAGAATTAGCTGCAACATCTGTCGAACAACAACCATTATGCATATCATTCCCTCATGGAGAAACATCGTTTGAGCTGAAAACATGTTTAATTTATCTTCTACCTACTTACTGTGAACTGCCCAATAAAAGTCCTCACAAGCATCTTACTGAGTTTCATCTAATTTTCTCTAGCATGAAACCACATGGAGTATCTGATGATCAAATTAAACTATGTGCTTTCCCTTTTTCTTTAACTGACTCGGCCAAAGATTGATTATTTTATTTACCTCCTAATTCTGTTAATACATGGGCTGATATGAATCGGCTTTTTCTTGACAGGTTTTCCCTGCAGCAAAAGCGAGTGAATTAAGAAGAAAAATCTTAGGAGTGCAACAAATAAATGGAGAATCATTATATGACTACTGGGAACGATTCAATAAACTCTACGCTAGTTTCCCAGAGCATGGACTTTCGGAACAAACACTTATTCAATACTTTTACAAATGATTACTTCATTTGGAGATGAAGATGATTGACATAGCTAGCGGAGGAGTACTCATTAATATGACTCCACGTATAGCCAGAAATCTGATCTCAACTATGGCTGCTAACTCCCAACAGTTTGGCTCTGCGAGTGAACCCACTCGACATGTTCACAAGATAAGTGCAATTTCTTTAGAAAATAAACTTGATAAATTAGTTAATATTGTTAAAACTCTTGTTACAGGAAAAATGACAACAATTAGACATATTGTTGTCCGATGTTACAAGAAGACTGTTGTATAAGTTAATACAGTTGGAAATTTTCCAGGACATCCCCAGAGAGAGTATAACCTTAATAAAAATACATATAATCTGGGGTGGAGGGACCATCAAAATTTTAACTATGGGCAAAACCCGATTCCAAACCAAGCGTATCAATCAAGGCCACTCCACCCCAACAATACCAACCGTCGCAATCATCCTTAGAGTCCATCGTTGAACGTTTGGTGATATCTCAAGAACAATTTCAGAATAGAATTGAAGCTCGCTTCCAAGAGCTTGAAAAATAAATGAGTCAACTGGCTCAGACCGTGCGGCGAATGGCATTATAGGGAAAGTTACCATATCAAACCAAGGCAAACTCACGAGAAAACATTAGTGATATCACCCTTCGGAGTGCCACTATTATCGCACCAATCCCTAAGGAAGTTGTCGCATAATCAAAGAAACAAAAAGAAGAATCAAGATCCCAGAAATAAAAGGAAGAAGTTGATGTGAAATCCTAGAGGAAAAAGAAAAATGACTCACAACTTCTTCTCTTGCTATCTCCCTATGTCACGCCACCTTCCTTCCCCTGAGGTTAGTAAAACATGAAAAACAAGCCGAGGAAAAGGAGATTCCTAAAATTTTTTGAAATGTGGAAATTAATATACCCCTTCTATAGGTAATCCAAAATGTACCAAGATATGCCACATTTTTAAAGATCTTTGCACACAGAAAAATACTTACCGGTAATGAAAAGGTAAATTTTGGAGAGAATGTCTCAGCTGTTTTCCAACGTAGACTCCCACCTAAATTAAAGGACCAAGGTATGTTTGCCATACCCTCCAAAATTGGTAATGTATGAATTAAACATGTTGTATGATCTTGATGTTTCAATTAATGTTATGCCTCTTTCTGTGTACAACTCACTTTCTGCTGAGCCTTTGAAGGAAACTAGGGTGACAATTCAACTCACTGATAGATCCGTTATCTTTCTTGAAGGACTTCTTGAAAATGTATTGCTTAAGGTAAATGAATTAATTTTTCTGGCAAATTTCTATGTCATCGACATGGAAAACAACCGAACCAACACCTCCTCTGAAGTCCTTCTTGGCCTCCCCTTCCTAAGCACAACTTACACTAAAATCGATGTTAGAAGAGAAAATCTTACCATGGAGTTTGATGGTGAAGTGCTAAATTTCGATGTTCACAAAGCGATGAAGTATCCTGACTCTGTAGCTAACATTAGCTTTGTTGATATAATTAAGCATCCTGTGAATGAACATGTTGAAAATATTTTTTTTATGAATTGTATAGGAATTCAAAGTTTGGAATTGATATCGCTTCTAACGTGGACTCGTATTCATCTGGCGAAGAGCTAAGTAAGAATTAAAATTCGATGTATTCTCAATCTAAATTTTTTCCATATGTTTTTTAGGTATTAAAGTTGGAATTAAAATCGCTTCTGGAACATTTGAAGAAAATATTTTTAGGTGAAGTAGATAATTTATCTTCCGAAACTTAAAAAGATCCGAAGAAAAGCTTGTGAGAATGTTCAAATCTACAAGGACAAAATGATGTTTCATGAATCCTTTAGTTGATACGTTTCTTGACTCGATACACATTACCCCTTCTTGTGAGATTTGAGCCTA